AAATTTACAATATAATTCCTCAATAAAAGATGTATTTACAAAGAAGATTGTGAAAATCACTAATAAATTATATTTAAAGAATATTACATTTTTACAATATAGCAGCATATTATTTTTTTTATTAAAAAAACATCAAATAAATAAATTTATTTTCATTTCAAAATATAATAAAATTAAATAAAAAATATTAAATCATATCATGTTTATTTGTTGATAATAATAAAATATTTACATTAAATATAAATAAAATAAATTATTTTACTAAAATAAATAAATAATAATTAATGCTAAGCATCGATGCAGAATTTTGACTAATTTATTTTAGCCAATTTTTAGGCTTAGCCCATTTTTAGGCTTAGCCAATTTTTAGGCTTAGCCCATTTTTAGGCTTAGCTAATTTTTAGGCTTAGCCCATTTTTAGGCTTAGCCGATTTTTAGGCTTAGCCAATTTTTAGGCTTAGCCGATTTTTAGGCTTAGCCTAATTAGGTTTAGCCCATTTTTAGGCTTAGCCGATTTTTAGGCTATACCTAATTAGGCTTAGCCGATTTTTCCACCTAAAATCTCGGCTAAGCCGTTTTTAGTCGGCTAAAATTAGCCGATTACGCAACACTAGTCACGGCATTTAAAGATTATAGAGGATCTCAGGGCGTAAAGGATTTTAAATATATTGAAATAATTTTTTTTAAAAAAAAAGATAGATGGGCTGGGAGGTAATTAAATAATGTGATTAATTTCGATAAATTGTTAAGGGATTTGTTTAAAAATGTTTCAATGACCTTTTCACCTCCTATAGGTGATCCAAGGTGTGTCATCTCGTCTTGGTTGATGACGTGATATGCAATGTCTGAAGGGATAGAAGTGGGATTTAGAAAACAAAACTCACACTTGGAAAGGTTGATGATAGTCTTGTTATATGAGATTAATTCTCAATGATGAGGGGGATGGGCGTGATTGTGAAGAGGTTGCATGAGACAATGCCGTCATCAAGATACCAGGAATTTAAGGTAAGGTTAGATTTAGATTAAATTTCCTGGATTATCTTGTGGATCCCGATGCAAAAGAGGGCTGGGCCTAAGGGGTCTCCTTGTTGAATTCCCTCTTGAGTTCAATTATGTTATTATTAAATTTTAAAAAAGTATGGCTCGAATAGCTGTGGAGGATGTAAGTAGAGTATTTGGGATATTGGGTGCAAAATAGTGGAACGAAGTGTTGGCGTTTTATTGTATTATATGCATTGTTGAAATCCAGTTTTAGGACCACGTCATCTGGTGTACTGTTATCTATAGTTAACTGAACAATGTGAGCGGAAATTTCAAAGCCTCCAGGAACACCAAACCCTAGTTGAAGTTGCGACAGGAATGAATAAAGGGGTTCCTTTATTCGTGAAGCAATGATCTTAGAGAGAGTCCTTTGGAAGAACTACCCAACAGCAGTTGGGCAAATACCTCCGTCCTTTTTTTTGAGGGCTATAAGGCGGGCACCAAAGAGAATAGGAATAATAGTTGAAGGAAGGGGTCCTTAAGAATTATATTTAGTAACCTGGTAAGGTTCTGTAAAAGGGTTCTACATGAAATGTTGGGTTTTATAATGTCTTGGATGAAGATAGCATGAATGACATCAAGACCTCCGGAAGAGTCTCTTGAAAGATCTAACAGCTTTGATTGTCTCATCAGTGTTGATTTCGGGAGCTATATGGTCGTTTTGGCTTGAGAAGGCAAATTCCGAATCACATATGTGATGTTTTAGAAACAAAGCTTCTAAGGTGGATTCATTGTTTGGAGTTAAGGAGTGTTTAGAGGTCATGGCTTGGAGGGCTGAGTTTATGTTAAGGCTCTTTATTTTGTTTATTTTAGCCCTACGGGCAATGGGGAGTGGATTGGATTGGTAGGTTCGGGGAGTAGGGGTTTGTATGGAATCAGGGTTGAAGAGGGCTATTGATGTTTTTATATGTTTGGATAATAAAGTATTTTTATTATCAGGAATTTTAAGGGTGATATGGTAAAACAAAGTGTTTTTTCAATTGGATAGGTTTCTAGGATTGTTTACTGTTAATGGGATTAACTTGTTGAAGGAATCTGCAAAAGAATTACAAGCACCCCGTGGTATGCGGGATATGGTGGGAAAGTTGGGTAGAGATAAAAAATCATTGGCCCAGATTGTATGTTGGGAGTTTGTTGACTGGGAGGCAAGCAATAGGAGAGGGAGGGTTTGCTAGATTTAATAGACTGAATGGAGGAGGATCTGTAGACGTTATACATGGTAGCCCTGAAACTCGACATCTGGAGGATAAGGGACCATGGATTTGAAACTTTCTAGCTTTGGTTATATTTGTAGATTTATTGCATAAGGGGCATATTTCATGAATTTAAATTTTTATTTGCCAACACTCTTATCAATACATAGGAGGATTCAAAATAAGAGATAAGATTTGACATATATTTAAAATTTAGAATGATAACTTATGCAGGATATATATATATTGAAGGAGATGTGTCTAAGGTAGACGAATATAAAAATTGAGTATGATGTAGGCAGAGTAAATCATTATAAAAGCTGCTTTAGGAGACAAACGATAATGACGGCACATCTAGAAGCATAATTATATTAACCAGTTATAGAATGCAGTTGAGAGTATGTCTGTATAACAATCTATTAGATAAATAGCAACAATGGTATGGCGATATCTGACAATTAACAACCCATTTACAATTTAGGGATAGATGATTCCATATCAAAAAAACTTTCTATAAAAATGATAAATATATTACACCTTCATTTTTTTTCCTTTTTTTTAAAACATAATAAACAAAAAACGTTATTCATTTCACAACACTTTCAAACATCAATCACCTCTCTCATATTATCATAATTACAACAATTAAGTTATCCGTTTTTAAAAATCGCGCCATTTAACAACACTAGGTAGAACTATTTTACCTCTAGAAATAGGAAATATATACTTTAAAAATATTTTTAAATAAAAAAATCGGATTTTTTTAAATATTTAAATCAAATTTTTTAAACAGGTTGAATTTTGAACAACTTTAAACTAGGGATTTATAAACAAACATTTTATGCCATCTTATTTAATTTTTATTCATATTAAAGAGGAATACATTCATATTTTATTTAAATACATGGAAAAGTAAATTTACAATGATAAAAAAAATTAAATTTATAATGTGAAATGATAGATTTCGTTATAAAATACAAAGATGATTTTAATTGCACGTTTTCAGTTTTAGTTACTGATATGAAAATGCAAATAAATATTAAATATTTTATAAATAATGCCTCAACTCTATTAAAACATTTCAAAATAAGTTACCATAAAGTTATAAAGATATTTAAAAGATACTAATCTCAATCAAAAAATCCTTGAATATTTTGCAAAAAAAACATAGTATATCAGATTGTGTCGACATAAATAATTAAATAATCAGAAACGTTTAGTAAAATAATAATTTCGCTTTCCATATCCATATTAAATAATATAAAGAATCTTCAGTGGTGAAGATCATAAATTAGAATTCTTTTTGGTGATAATACAACTCTATTAAAATATTTCAAAATAAGTTACCAATGTTATAAAAATATTTAAAAGATACTAATCTCAATCAAAAAATCCTTGAATATTTTGCAAAAAAAAACCATAGTATATCAGATTGTGTCGACACAAATAATTAAATCAGAAACGTTTAGTAAATAAATAATTTCGCTTTCCACATCCATATTAAATAATATAAAGAATTTTAAGTGGTGAAAATCATAAATTAGAATTCTTGTTGGTGATAATACAAATGCATAAATAATCATAATCTTCAATCAGTTCCTTGGTGTTACAGCTTCTTTAACTAACGTAGAAAGGATATTTTCCTCTTTTGGCCTAGTTTAATCAAAATTTATAAACAGGCCTGGACAAAAAAGGAGGAAAATTAGTTGATCCTTTTAAATATTTTAGTGATAAAACCCTATACAAATTTGTCAAAATATTTGCTAAGCTATAAAATGAAAAGAAATCGATGCTACATTATTATTATATCTCAATAAATAGTAATCATAAAATATTAAGTTTTAAATTTTTATAGTTTTGTGCAGCAACATAAACAATCAAAATGCAAATAACTGATTCATTTTATATGTGTTTACTCTACAGCTGCGATTATCAAAAAGTTAGCCCTACGAGGATAAAATAAATGATCGATTAGACTGTTAACATGTTAAATTTATATGCAACATTTTAAATTAGGGGTGTGCCGATACCACTTTTTGGAGGCCGATCCGATATTCCCAATATTAAATTGATATCGGCCGATTACCGATCCGATATCATATTTAATTTTGTAGTAAAGATACCAATGGTTTTAATTTTTAATATACTTTTTATTAATATAACATCTTTAATTTAACTATAACATAACTTATGTCATAGTTTATATTCAATTTAATAAAATATTTTTATTGTTAATTCACTTTTATATAATAAGTAATACATTAATTATATGCATAATAAGTAATAAACAAATATATATGAAATTTTATATAATTATTTAAAATATTTAACATTAATATATCGAAGATTTCTTTTTAGAAATACCAAAATTTCCAATTTATCAAAGGTCAGCCTGCGGCGATGGTAACTGTCAATATCACCAGCTTCACTAAAATCTGATTCTGAAGAGATTATCGCACACTTTTATAAACTGAATGAGCAAAAAAAAATAACAATATCGCAGAATGTTTATTAATTAATTATTTAAAAATAAATGATTTTAGATATAACTCTTTTTTAAAATTTTATAACATTTTATTTTTGTTAAAGACGCCATTTTATATCGGTTCGGAAAATTTTATAATATTGGCCGATAACCGATATTTTAAAATGGGTGAAATATCGGCCCGATCCGATAAAAATATCGGTACATCCCTATTTTAAATGGTTGAATTTTTATAAAATTTAATGTTAATGTTATTTATAATTTTTTACATTATTCGAAAGGTGGCCGAAATACAACGATTACTTTTAAGAGTGGAAGGAATAATCATGTTGATGTGCTATCCATTGTTGGAACTCTATTATTTACCCAATTTTGGTTCTGGTATCCTTTTGCTCATTTTCTAAGCTTGTCATTTAGATCCACCAGTTTGATAGGGCTAAATTATAATCTAAAGGTTATTTTAAATATTTTATAACTATTGATACATAAAATCCTATTTTATATGTAATATTTTGAACTGTATAAAAATCAATTTGATTTAAATTAATTTTATCAGACTCAGGCGTGTACGCAGGAATTTGGTCTGGGGGGGGGGATAATAAAATTTTTTAAGAAATATTATGGTTTTTTTTTAAATATCAAGCATAAGTTTATTAGGACTATTAACTATTTCTAATACACAATTTTAAATTAATGTGAATTATAAAAAAATTATATGTAAAGAATCACTTAAATGACCCAAAATAGATATTTGAATTTTTTGAGCCTTTAAAATTTATATTTAATAAAGTATAAAAAATTTAAATGTAAGAAATATAAATTAATACACAAAAAGTTTCTTAGGAATAATTGTATTTTGTATGTTAATTTACAATGTAAAATCCAATTTTCGTTGGGATTGAGCTAATTTTTCAATTATCTCATCCTTGCTTGTCGTCAAATGCCTCTGAATTTCAAAAGATCCAAACCTTTCAATCTACTTTCAGAAGTTGTACTTCTTGGTATGTTCTTCAAAGACCTGCAGTCCTACGGCCCCCAGGGCAGACTGTATTTTAATTTATTTAAATATACCCGGGCCTGAAATTTTTTTTAAAAAACACCCAAGCCATGTATATTTTAAAACAGCCTATATTTAAAATCGTTATTATTAGTTATAAAAATCAAAAAAATCCGGGTGGGGCTTGAAAATTTTATTTGAAAAAAAGCCGGGGCGGGCTTGAAAATTTTTTAAAAAAAAGCCGGCTGAGCCTGAAAATTTTTAAAAAAAAACCCGGGCAAGGCCTTAAAAATTTAAAAAAAAACCCGGGCATGGCCTTAAAAATTTAAAAAAAACCGGGCCGTGCCCTGCAAATGGTTACTTTGCAGAGCTCTGTTATTCTTCTTAAAAAAGAGAATGTTCTCTCATTAGTTTACTAATGGGAAGATTTGCTAATATATATAAACCCTTTTAATACATTGGGAATAAAATCTAAAATGTGTTTGAAATAATGCAGAGCATCCATAGCATTTTTTGGGACTATATCAACCATAGTTAATCTTTATAAACATATATTCAGCTAATAAGGCATCATAAGATACTTTAACATCTTCATGATAAAAATCCCACAAATATTTTTTTTTCTATCACCATCTGAAAAAGGTTGGGAAGTCTTTTATGGAAGTAATATTTGCAGATTGGTAAGTGCTGCATGATGAATTAAAAACCATTCATTTATTTGGGTTATAAATGTATCTAAGATATACTCTTCTACTGATCCTATATTAATGTTTTAACTATGAGCTTGCCTTGCTGCATCGAGGGAGACAAATATTAAACACGTATAGCTCTGCTTTTGAACTAACAATAACATATAAAATATGAAATTCTTCATCAACATTAGCCCTAATTTCCTTGAATTCTAATATAATGCTCTCCGCTATTCTCATCTTCTTAATCAAGTCAATGTCATGTTTTTGAAATATAATACATAAAATAGTTGTATAAATAATTCTTTCTAATGAGAAAAAAATTTTGGAATAAGCATTGAATCCAATAATTTTCTTGCTTCTGAGGGAATATTTCTTTCAGGCCATTGTGATATTTCAGTAATAGCAAATAATCGGCTCTTCTTACTTTATAAAAGCTGTTACTGCTATAACGGGGACTCTATCTCCCTGTTGGACAATTTCAGAATAATTATTATTTGACTAGAAATTTGAAAATGGTAGATAAATATTCACTAAATATTTAAAAATAATAAGTAAATATTACGCCATAAAACTTGTATTCGAAATTAATTGATAAAATAACGTAGTTGATGAATGCAATAATAAATGTAATTAAATATATATTTATTATGAGATAGGAATAAATATTAACAAATATAAATTAATATAAACAATAATATTTTTGAAAAATATATCCGGCATCTGCATTTTTGGCTTGGGGGGGGGGGTTGTCCCCCTGCCTCCCCCGCTGTGTACGCACCTGATCAGACTAAAAAAATCCTCGAACTTACTCTGAAATATAATTAAATTACTTCCCACTTAAAGAGGTTTTATAATTGACACTTTTATTTTCTATTAACTTCATTTTAAAATAAAAAATTTTTTCATTTAAAAAAATGGAATGAATTTCAAATCAGAAAAATCATCGAATATAATAAAAATAATAATAATTGACATTTACTTTTATAACAATTTTTTTTTAACCTTGTTGATTGACATTCCATATATATAAATGCGTATAAGTATTAAAAAAATAAGCAAGGCTATGGCATACCCCCTCCCCTTTATGGGCAAAAGACATTCATAAAAAAATATAATATAATAAAAGGTATTCACAAAAAAATATTATATGCAATGTATATTACATATATACTAAAATCTATTATACTAAATATAGGCTACAACCTACTATATTTGATCGGAATAATAAAAACATTTATATAAACTACAAGTAAAAATGTTATGGCATTTCCTATTACAGATTATAGAAAATATCTATATAAAAATTATGTTATAAAGGGAACAAAATATAGTAGCCAAAAAAAATATTTGCGGTGCATATGTTAACCCCAATTGCTTATAATAACATGGAATCTTCTGAGAAATTTTCCGTGATGTTGTCCCGATCTTGATACGATTGCTGCGGTACCCGGCGATTCAGGTAGGGTCTTTGACGTGATCGTGCTCAATAGATCTCTTGACGAGTCTTAGCCATCACCGCCGCATTATTACTCCTGGCTTCTCCTGGAACCGTGCCAACGTCGAAGGCGTCGGTTCGCTTCAGAGCATACCCGATTGTAGGCTGTCCAGGGAAAATTCCCTAGCTAATCGCTTTGTCATTGAGTGGAAACTCATCATGGAATTATCGTTACGATTTTCCAGCTGCATCCTTCGATTTCGTGATGGTAATTGGCATTGTCTGACGAGATGATAATCGGCCTGGCAATTAAAACATCTTTTCCGTGCGCCCAATGATTGAATCATATTTTCCCTTTGCCGACCAGAACCGATGTTTAATCCATTATTTTTTGGGATGAGCGTGAGTTGGACATAGTACTCCCCGAAATCCACTAGTCGCGATTTGGTTTCCATTGACACAATTTAAATTACAAGATTTTTTTCTTAACTAAAAATAAATTTATAAGAGCTCTTATTTTTTTTTAAACCGAAAATAAAATTATGAAAGTTTTTTTTTGTAATTAAAAAAAATATATATATGATTCCGAGAAAAAAAATATAAAATGGAAGGGAGGGAGAAAAGAATTTCCCCATACTCATCAAAATATTAAAAATACATCCTTCAATGGAGTTCACCAAGCGCTCCTTTTTCTTTCCTTCGTTTTATTTACTGTATCCATATCAGATTACCCTTTATCCCTAGTTACTCCCGTGGTCTAATATGGTCATTATGCCTCAGGACACCTATCCTTCAAATTTATGAGATTTAACCTCATTCCCCTATTCTCCAATATAATACCCTTAGCCCATTTTTTGCTCCTATTACCAAATAACCGGGTTCAAACCCTTTTTCCCACACCAAACCTAATTCCTTAGTCTCTCGGGACTATATCACTTTTATTCCTTACTTTCAAAAAATCCAACCGAACTTTGGTTTTTAAGAAATAATTCAGGATTTTCCGATTTTCTAATCCAATTTTTCACAATGGCCACCATCCTCTCAGCTTGTCCATTCGAGCTGTGATGATACGGTGGAGCAAGAATATGTTGTGTCTGTGACTCAGTACAAATTTTTTAAAATCATCACTAATGAAGGCTGGACCTCCATCATATATTATCGTATCAGGTAAACCATATCGAGCATACAATTCTCGTAATTTTTTAACAATTTTTGTGGTATAACCATGCATCTTTGCATATTCTATCCATTTTGAATAGGAATCAACCACCAAAAAGTATGATTTTTTTTATCTAGATCAAAGAAATCGACGCGGAGACATTCCCATGGTTTCTTTGATTTGGGCCACATCTGACCTACCTCCTTACGGGGCACAACGTTTATAAAAAAATTTATCAGTGAAAATGTAAAATTTTTAAAAGTTACTTTGGGTATGTTGAAATTTAAATTTGCATTTAAAATTTTTCATAACATTTTTGACCTACTTAAGCACCTTATTAAAATACATATTTGGCTTAAATTTCAAAATTTAAACTATTAATTTTTAAATTATTCGAGAAGGAAATACCTACCCCGGGAACACACTATCCCCGGTCTCCCCTACACTTATTTAAAGAATTTAAAAACATACAACTATGGTTAACATCATCACAAGAAAAATCCCTGTTATTAGCAACAATAGGATGTATACTTATAAAATATTGGTAAATTTATGCGCACCAGATAGTCCAGGAAATAAAGAGCTATTAGAAATAGATAACATTTTACTCAAATTTTTTCATCCTACTCCTAATATAACTGTAAAAAGATTTAATCTTTATCAATATAATCAAAAAAATGAGGCAAAATTAATAGACTATATACAAAATCTTCGAAAATTAGCAACGACTTGTGAATTTGGGGAATAAATACTACATTTAAGAGATAAATTTATATTCAGAATAAAAAATCCTAAAATTTTACAAAGATTATTATCTGAAGATGATATAGACATAAATAAAGCTGTTCAAATAGCCACTTCATTAGAAACAGCTATAAAAAATACAAAATGATGAAACTAGAATCGATCAGTTAGAAGAGGAACATAATGAAAATATAAATAAAATTCAAAAAGTTAATAATGATAATGATAAACAATCCAAGTCATATAAATTATAATACGAGCTACAAAAAACTAAATCCCTGCCATTCTTACGGCGGAAACCATAAAAGGGAAATTTGTTTTTTTTAAGAATGCCACTTGTTATAAATGCAACAAAATTGGGCACATTGCTCGAGTCTGTAGAAAAGAAATAGTGAATTTTATTAATAATAAAACAACGATTCAATAC